TGTTCAGCGCCGCTTCAGTCTAGGTGGTAGTCGTTTGGGGTGGGGGCCATGGTTGCGCAGTGACCTGGGAGGATTTGAGAGCTGGCTGGTGAGAGAAAGCTTTGAAAGGCGAGCGGGCGGCGGATCTGCTGGTGAAAGAGCGCTAGAATGTGGGAAATTTGAGTGGCCACTAGTTTGGACTAGCGCACAGATTTTGTACATCTGGGACGAGGTTTGAGTGTGTTGTGCCTGCCAAAAGAGATGAAGACGAGAAAGGGTACAAAGTGAGCGAGGAAGAGTGTACAGTTTGTGGAATCTTTCGTTGTGCGGCGGATAAGGATGAAAGCGGAGCGGAGACGGCTGCTTAGATTGACACGCTGGCAGACGTGCGTGGAGAGCACGTGATTTAGCGAAAAGATCGTCGAGCGACGAGTAAGTAATGGAGACGTGGAATGTAGTGTTGGCAGACAGTTGAAGGGGTGTTCATGCAATCTTGTCAGCGCATGCAAGAATGTCAGCTGTCGAAGATGGCATCGAAGCGCTCGTACTGATTAAAGGAAGAACGGCAGCTGTCCAAGATGGCATCGAACTGCTTGTACTGACGAAAGATTATAGCGAAGCGTGAGGTGTTGAGAATTTCAAAAGTTAGGATTCGGAATTAGAAGATTTGGATGAGCACGACTGGATAGAAGAAATAGCGTCAGAAGTAGTGATTATTTGCTGTGACTTTCAAATATGGGCCTAGTTGGGAATTGTAAGACTATAGAAATAAACGTTAGGATAAGAAGGCACATTTCACTGTTGCTGGATTGGTATCAGAAGTTATTGAGTAAGCGCTGATTTGAGGACAAAGTTGTCAAGTAAGTGGTGCTAGAAATCATAGATAGAAAGGCACCAGATAGTAGCGAAAATTAGAATGATGAGGACGTAGTCAGAAGTAGTGTGAGATGAGATGATGGGCATGTGGAAATCTTGTGCGGTTTATAGATGATGTAGGCAAATAGTGGATGTTTTCACGTGGTCATGTGCAAGTACGCGGAAGCATGTGGAAGAGCGCAAAGATTGTCAATGTGTGGGATGAAAGAGGAATGATACGTAGGAGAAGCTGAAAGTAGCTTTTTTGTTCATTATAGGAGCGTATGTACATGACAAAACCTTTATCTAGAATTTCTTGAACTCTTTATTGAAGCGAACTAAACCCTGGAGAAGAGTCACTGTACTGCGTGAGTTTTTGAACTGTACAGCTAACTAAAGGTACCGGCCTGTGCTCCAGCGCATGGGAAAAAGAAAAGTATAGCCGATATCGAAAGTTTATACGAAAGTTTGCTTGGTCAGATTCTTATTCGAAAAGATAACAGACACAGCGTTTCACGCGCCACGGGCGCGTTTTTCCAAATCACTCGCGGGTGGGAATTCGAGCCCGATGATCTTGAGGGAGTAGGAGGTGATGTAGCTGGCTGGGTTAGCGCGCAGACGCAGGTGGACTGCGAAAGTCTTCCCCCTGAAGCGGGCGTTGAGGGCCGCTACTTGCGCGTCCGCCGGCCTGGTGACGAAGTCTTCCAGGTACATCCCGCTGACTGCTGGGAACTCGTTTGCGTACACCCGCACGTTGACTGCAGTGGCTGCAGAAGAGAGGAGAAGGGGAATAAATCGTTTGTTTGTTATTGTTTAGCGCAAGTATGTATGTTGACTTGAACCTGCAGCGTTAAAAGTGCATACATTTGTTGCAGGTATTGGCTCTGTTCGTACTGTGAAGGAGAGTTCTGTTTTCGGTACAGGCGGATGACGTGGCAATGTCCGTTCTGCTGCTCGCTGAAGTGACGGGCGGTACTCGTGGCTTTCGAGAGTAGACCTTATGAAGCAAGCAGTTAGGAATTACGAGGCGAAGTAGAGAATTACCTGCGCCAGGGAAGAACATTTCCGCTGTTGCTGAGATCTCGATGGACACGTCGATGATGGCGCCGGGTGTGCACGTGGCGTCACAGAAGATCTCCCGGGAAACAGGGTCCCAGCTGGCCATGTTCTGGCACGCGAGGCAGCGGTAACCGCAGAAATCCACGCGGCGGTAAGCGACGAAGCTGCCCAGGACGATCCTGCTGATGTACTTGCCGTTTGCTGCGTCGACGTCATCCATGGCCCTTTTCCAAGTCGTAATGGACGACTCGCTGGCGAAGCGGAAGGTGAGGCCGATGCCCTCGATGTGGCGCGGATTTGCGTCGCTGCGTGTGATGTCGGTGCTGCAGAGGCATAAAGATGGTTTAGATTTCGTGCTTTCAGGAAGTGTTATGTATTGCGGGTTAAACTGAGTATTTTCAAAGCAGATTGCGGTGTGAAGCAGTGGCGGGCATTTGATTGCAACGTGTGAAATCGTACGGGTCCAGCTCGCAGGATTGGGGAGTGGATGACTTTTTGAAGCTTCCTACGTAGGCTGCTGTATCGAAAGGAACCTGATATTTGGAAACGTGAAGGATTTGGAGGGCAGAGAGGGGAGAACATAAGTGTTTGAATTAGAAGTGTAAGGGAATACGCAGCAAGTTGTACAAGAAGTCGGGCCGATGGCTGGTCGAAGAGAGTATGATCGCCTCAGAGCAATGATTTTGGATTGGATCGACTTCTGGCTACTGGAAGCACGTGGATGGCATAAGAGGCTCTTGCAAGCAACTTAGCCTCGTTTGTGGTGATCAGCAGGTAGATTAACAGATAGACAACTGGAAAGAAGGTCTTCAAGTGGATTTGTTCTTCAAGCAGCAGGAAGAAAATTGCTTGCGAAGTTACTTACATCCTCGTTGAGCCGAACCCCTGCTCCAGATCGCACTGCACGCCGCTGATGATGAGCACGTCCTGACGTACGCGAGCTTCCCGGATGATCGGAAGTGCAGCTTGATCTCCCCAGACAGATACGATGCCGATCTCGCCACGGAGGTCCTTTAGCGTGAGGCGGACGACGTCGCGGGTTCCGCGCGATGTCTCCAGATTCTCCGACCGGCTTTTGTGGATGAGAAGACCTTCGAGTTTGTACACCTGAGACGTGACACATGAAGGAATAAGTAGAGCAGTCATCAGCTGGCAATGAAGTTTTTTAGATGTTCAGAGCTGGTATTGGATGCAACATTAGAGTAGAAAAACTTGTCTGCGTCATTGCTAGCCCTTGTTGCAGCCCTTTCTGCATCCTTGGATCATTGGTAAGTCTTTGAGCAGCGGAGATCATGGCCCAACCTCTTCCACCTTCACTGAGTATTTGTACCCTGGTAGGCAGGAGAAACGTAGCAGCAAGCAGGGAAACGGATGAAGACAGAACTTATTGCATATAAGAAAGTATGCGCAAATTCTAGCGTTCTGTGGTGGGAACAAGTTATGTGAAAGCGAGAGTTGACCGCGCAAGTCTCTGGAGTTGCTGACAGTCAGTAGAAGTCAGAAGAAGGAAAATAGACAGCTTACTTACGCCGCCAGGTTTGATGGTCATAAAGTTGACCGGTTTGTCCGCCAGTTCGTCGATGTTCTCTTCACATTTGGTGAAGAGAGTTTGGCCCGGGACTGCCTTGATGGACATGTTGTGCTCGGTCATTGTGTACCTACGAATAGGTAGAGGCATGGGCTTTAAGTAAGTAAGTCGCCCTTATTTATGGTGGAGTTGTATTTGTAGAGCAAATCAGAGATCAGAGCACTTGTTGTGTAGGTGGATTAAGAGAATAGCATTGATCAGGAATCACACCCTTAGCCTTGCATCTAGAAGAATGCTGCAATCCTATTGGCTCCCCATAAAGTGCCCGGTAGCTACCCTAGGGGTCTAGGAATAGTACTTAAAGACATAGGCCTTAAGTAGTCTTGGAATGCCTCAGGACTTAAGGCCTAGGAACCTGCCTCTAGCATTTAAGCATATGGACTATGCGCGAGCATGCGCGCGCACCCCCATTTGGCACGTGATGCTATTGAATGCCATTGTGGCGAAGTGTGACAGTATTATCAGGCGAATACAGCCTGACTCTCACCACATTGTTTCCACCGGGCACATACAACCCCTATTTGCCCCTGAGCAAGTGCCCGGTCAACTCAGCAAGCTTGCGCGCGCACATTATGGTCCCACATGCTTGAACGTAACGGATCCTTTAGACCACATGATTATGAGGTGCATACAATTACAGGAATCATCTGATGTTACATAATGAAATGAAGCACCTTTTTTCAATCACAAAGGGAAATTCTGTACATTCTATCGCAACTAGCTGCCTACGTTTTACACGTGCCTTCATAAAAAGATTCAGCTAGCTAAGCCACACTACCTGGTTATCAGAACGTTATGCAGATATACTACTTCCACTTGTTGAACGACGAATCCATATAGCAGAGAGCGGGCAACCTAGGAACCCTGCGCGTGTCAAAGAGATCTAGCAGTGGTGGTGCCTCTGGTGATGGAGGGGCTAGAACAGCGCTCCTATATTGCCCCTGCTCAACATTGGGATGAGGTACGGATGATGTGCTCTGGTTCATCCGCTTGAGTTGCTCCATTCTGTACTCGTGATCCAGTCTTGCTATTTCAGAGTCGTGTTCCAATCTTGCCATTTCCGCATCGTGGTCTAACTTCGCTCTTTTGGCATCATGATCCATCCTTAGTTGTTTCGTTTTCTCCTGCTCGATGGCCAACGTGTGGTCGTGTGCATCGAACATCACCCCCTCCGTCGAGGATGACAGCCTGACCGCCTTGCGCATATTGTACAGGATCTTCTCTTCAGTGAGGCTGGCAGGTGCCACAAAGATCTCGGTGTGCGTAGTGTCCCCGATCTTGAGCGGCGAAAGGTTGTCCTTGATGTCTCCCATGTTCCGAAAGAGCTCCTCGGCCGTTCTGTCGTCCTCAGCCTCCACCACGTGCAGCAGCTCAAAAAACAACGGCTCCTTGAAAGAAGCCTTATGCTCTTTGTACCGTCTCCCTAGGTTAATGGTGCGCCCAAACTTGAAAAGCTTGGTCGGCCGCTGCTGGACAGCGCCCACGTAGATACATTTTTTGTTCTCGTGTAGAAGCAGCATGGCCTTCTCTTTTGGGCCGATGGGGTCTCGGTCACGCGTGAGGGCGATGTACGCATCTCTGATGGCGATGAAGAAACCTCGAACGGATCTGTCACGCTCGCCTGGCGCGCACATAGCGAAGTTCTCGAATGCATTTTGTGTTAGCATGTACCTGTCCAGTGCGCCTGACGGCTTATCACTAGAGTTAACAGCAGGGTTAACAGAAATGTTAACCCCATGTTCATCGACTTGAATGTAGTCAGCACCGTACTGAAACTGACCACCTTTGAGTTTTCTTAACCCACTGCCCTTTGTGCTATAACCACAAAATTTCCAAGCGTCGTCAAATTCAATCGCGTACTTGTTCCCTGTATCGTCAAAAGCCTTGATGAAGACCTTAGCTAAGCTGGCGCGATTTGCCGGATCGAAGCTGTTAGCAAGGACATGGGGATGCCCCAAGATGGTGTCGGTCAGATCCATCCTTTTAAGAGAGGCTAGCGGAAGTTCTCAAAGTCAGGGAACGCGGACGCGTCTAAACGCAACCAGCTAGCCGGAAAGTAGCATACGACAGGACGAATTTTTGGACCGGTGCCGCTGCCAGCAACCCATGCCTATATTGTCTCCATGGGGCTTCCTTATACGTTGCACTCTCCCCAAAGCGACCCTCATCTTCGGGGGCGGAACACACTGGCATCCACTTGAGAGTGAGTTGCGCGCGCATATTGTGGTCCCACATGCTTGACCCTAGTGGATCCCTCAGGCTCTAGTTTCACTAGCGGCGACGGCACAACATTAAATTTAATTATTTGGTGCCTGGAACTTGCCCGGAAGTCCAAAAAATGCGAAAAAATTGCAGTTCTGCCGGCCGCCAGTGAAACTGCGTCGCGGGCACAAGAGTCTCAAACGTGCCACGGTGGCAGGCAAACCCCTAAACCTCTCCCGCGCCATTCAAAAGTTGTGCTGCCAGTGCAGACTCTGCGGAGTGCACCGTAGCTGGCGCGAAATGTGCCCGCCAACTTGAGGACCTGGCGCTATGTGAGTGGTCCATCGGACCACATGGGAGGCCGGCACAAAAACAATTTAGTTCGACCCAAGGTGGCACTAGGGTCGAACTTAATTAGTTGTTGTGCCGCTTACGTCATCAAATTTTATTCGAGTTCCGCCGGCACAACCGCTAGTGGAAGCGCGGTAGAGATGTTCCGATGTAGCCGGAGCCAATCAGCGAATTTGAAAAAGAAAACCTTGTGCCGTCCGCCGCTAGTGAAACTAGAGCCTCAGACCACATGATTATCAAGTGCAATCACGTTGCCAGTAGACTAAAAATCTAGTTTTCTGCCAGTGCAAGAATGTAGACTCGAAACTTTCAGAGTTGACCGCTTCACAGTTGAGCAAGACTAGACAGCTTCCTTTGTCTGCGCTCCCAGAGCCAAGAGTGTTTCCTGCGATCCCAGCGCCAAGAGGGTTTCCTACGCGCCCAGAGCCAAGAGGGTTTCCTGCGCTCCCAGGGCCAAGAGGGTTTCCAGCGCCTCCCAGGGCCAAGAGGGTTGCTTGCCATCCCAGGTCCAACAGTTTTTCTTGCCATCCCAGGCACGAAAGGGCTGCTTCAGAAGGAAAGGCAAGTGCAGGGTGGGAAACAGGAAAGCGGGAGCCGGCGTTGCAGTATAATCAGCAGCGAAGGTTCCTAATGCAGAGCCCACTACACTTTCTGCGGAGCAAATATAGGCAGTCACTCAACTAAATTCCTTGTCTTCTGCAGGTTTATACAGGGTGAAGCAGGATTTGATTCGATTCTCCTGCAGGCAAGCGGTAGTGCTGAGCCAGAGGAGAGCGACCCTGACCCGACCCTAGCCTCTATGAATCAGAAGGTGCAACATACCTTCCAGAAGCAGGTGAGCCCATACAATCCTTTTCAAGAAGGCAGGAGTGTAAAAGTCAGAAGTGATTGTTCCACAACTTGCGCGATAAGCTTTGTAGGTGATGAAAAGGGGTAGGGTTTGTCATCTGCAGCTTGATCAAAGAATTGACACACAAATAGTGGCAAGCTCATATAGCATGATCTGACCGAGTGTGAAGTCCGACATGAACCGCTTCATTGGCCCGCGGCAGTTGGGGAGCTGAAGGCAGTGGTCCCCTGATAAACGCGTCTAGCAGGGATCCTGCGTCTATCTGGGGGCAGAGTTTGGCGCTGGGGCTGGGGCCACCAGAAGCTCAGTCTGGTTGATCGATGTTGTGTCGTGATTCCTGACGCTTCCATAATGTTTGTCCTGACTGGTGTGCTCTATACTAACGCAGGTTAAGGCTGGTGCCAGGACGGAAGCAAGGAAACCGACTTGGGAGATGAACAAGATTGTTGAAGTAGTGGAGGAGCAACTATCTGAGTCCAGGGTTGGTGAATGTGCCGTCGCAACTCGATTGCTGATGTCCGCAGCAGCATATGCCATTGAACATGGAAACCTGATGTACAAGGGGGAACACATCACAGACATATATAAGATGATTGGAAACGTTACAGGAACTGACTTTACAGGAGGTGCAACAGAGAGAGGTCACTGGTGGTTTAGGTGTCGCTCTGTAGAAGGCACAAAAAGTAACATAGATTTGACGGCGAAACAGTTCTACTCTCATCTTAACAAACGATACACCGATAATCCAGAAGGCCCTCCTTTGCACGTGTCAATCACGGGAGCAGAAAGCATTGGCGAGGCCTATGGAGAGCCCTGTGGAGAGCACCTTGTTCCAACCGAACAGTATAGTAAAAGGAAGAAAGTGTTAAAGGTCTTGGCAAGTGGAGGAAAGGGGTGGCATAAGAAAATGTTGAAAGTGTACGAAACACTCTCAATGAAGTAGCATCTGGTGACAACCGCGTCTGCACGATCGCTTTTGTCCCCACGGGAGTGTATCCATCAAAATGCACCCCGCCCACTTGCACGATCTTATATCTAGAATCTTTGTGAGCATTGACAGGCGCTTTGGAGGTACTTGGGCCATACCGTTTTGTGATGTGACAGCAGATCTGCATGATTTTGAATCCTACTGGGATAAGTATCCAGGAATACAACGTAGTGGTGGCGGACTTATCCAACTTTGTGCACCTGGTTGTGATGATTATGTTGCCGTCATTCGCAGCCATGCAATCAAATGCAAGAAGATGCATTGTCAGACGGATTGATGCTCAGGTCCATCAGATGCCTTAATATCGATACAATGACAATTAAGCCGACCAAACCTGCCGAGGTTACATTCAAAATCCTATCTGCTGACTACGACTCTGTCCAGCTCAGATGTCAACCATGACAGATGAGCCATTCCTGATTGACTAGAACAGCTGTGTTCGGGTCACCCAAGCCTCCGCGAGCAGTGCGTGCACTCTCTGCAACAACTCGACAAGCAAGAGACTTGGCGAGGTTCATTCCAGACCATCGGTCGGAATCGTGTGGTGGATTGACAACTTAAGGGGGTGGCCCACAAGTTTATATGATTCTTCATCCGCATCAGGGGACTCTGCGCCAAGCTCTTCTTTTCTGCAAACCAACTCTTACATTGCCTAGCCTTCCATGTGCGAAGGACTAGAGAAAGCTTTCGACTGCTGTTCATGAACTTATATCGCTTTTCGGCACCCCGCAGCACGTACGCGCATCCATGCAAGCTCAATATAAAGCTGGAAACAAGAACACATGGCGTGACATGACAAGATGAGCGATTGACTTGGAAATGCAAGCAGGGCAACGGATTCGATTAGACTCTCCGGCATCAGCCGGGGATTCAGCACAGTACCTCATACGAGTACCTCATACGAGTAACGCAACAGCTTTTCGTTGAGCGCATGGTAAAGCTGCCGCAACGCCAGATTCTCGTTCGAAGTTTTCAATTGTGCTTCCACCTCTGCAAGTCTATCCTTCAGACGCAGCACTTCCTGCCAAAGCTGCGCATTGTCCTGTTTGACGTCCACAAGGAGATGCAAGATCGTCTTGATGTCCTGTAAGAGCTTCTCTGGCAAAACATTTAGATAGGACTCTAAGCTGCGCTGCATGCTCCTGAAGGTACCCGCAGCTTCCAAGTCATCAGCATAGTTAGACAATAGGCTTTCTAGACACATAGCAATCGATTGGACCTGTGTCTCCGCCATGAAGAATGTAAAGTTTTGAGATATTCGCTTTCAAACTATGAATATACCAGAGCACGGCTTCTGAAGTAGTCTGGCAATCCATGGCTGGTTGAAGTCCCGAGTCCTGAGTCCTTAGCACTCCACTACTTTGATGAACATACACTTACACATTTTCCGATTAGGAGTTGAAACTAGCAGTTCAAACTGCTACTTGCTACTGGAACGGTTCCCGATTTCAGTGCCAGTAGAAGCTCTTCCACTTTGGCGTGCACTTTCTTGACTTGCTGCGATTCCCACCTTCACAAGTTGCAAGAGCAAGTCAATTGAGCTTACTTATAATAAAGATTGGGAACGCTCAAATGCAGGAAAACTTCTTCATGCTTTTGCAGATCTGTGCATCATACGCAATCTACTTGCATCTCGAACGTGTAATATTGCAGGAAACTTCTTTGATGAGCTTCTCAGAAAGTTGATGCAGATCATACCTCAACGACCGACACCATGTCGCAAAACATTCGCAGTTGTTGTTGAGGATGTCGTACAACCCCGCTCCATAATTCGCTTCCGCCAGCTTCTCAGCAAGCTTCAGCGAAAATCTTCTGTACAGACCACTCTCGGCATCAAAGTCGTACCTCATGACCAGCAGCTCAGACTTGCCCTTCGTGAACTCAGAGAATCTCCTCTTCTGAACTTTGGCTGACGTTTTGTCAGCCCCCCACATGTCCACTACATACGAGCGCCCTTTTTGGACGCCAACAAATGTGCCATGATGCTCCGCAATACCCCTAGCTGTTCGGGCAATAACATGATCGCCAGGTTGGAGTTCAAAAATACAATCCACCTTCTCTACAGGTTCCGCCTTTTCTGGAGTTAGGTCACCTGGTTTTATGCCGATTCCTTGTATCAGAAGGTCCACAAGGTCCCAGACCCCTGCTCCTTCTCGTTGTTCAGCCATGAATAAGAACACCTACCAAAAAAGGAACATCAA